CCTGCTCAGCGGGGAGTCTGCTTCTCCCTCTGACCCTCCTCCCTCTCATGCTCTCTGTCTCTCATTCTCTCTCTCTCAAATAAATAAAATCTTAAGAAAAAAAAAATAAAGTGGGAGACTTGTGATTCTCCTTTCACTTGAACACTTAGAAGCCATTGTAGGATTATTAACTGGCCCAATTTCAATATTGTTTAGTCTTAGGAAATATGGAGGCCTGAGGAGAAGGAGGGAGATGGGGAGAGAAATGCCCATTTGGTGGGCAATCACAACACACAACGTTTGTCAATGAAGTTCTCTGTCTTATATAGGCATGGTTCGTGGTGCCGCCAAACAATTACAATAGTAACGTCAAAGATCACTGATCACAGATCACCATAATAAAAAAAATAATAATGAAAAAATTTGAAATATTGCAAGAATTACCAAAATGTGACACCGAGACATGAAGTGAGCAAATGCTGCTGGAAAAATGGCACCGATAGACTTGCTCAATGTAGGGCTGCCACAAGCCTTCAATTTATGAAAAATGCAGTATCTGTGGAGCTCAATAAAGTGAAGCACAGTGAAGTAAAGTAAGCCTGTATCTGTCTCCTCCCTGTACACTCTCTAGAACATCTTTTCTTGCCCTCTGGAAATTCTGCTGACCTTTTAGAATCCATCTTACTACTCCAGCAAAAATCACCTACTCCGACATCAGCTCCCACGGCTCCTGGTCAGTAAGTTGCAGTGTTTGTTAAGCCTGGTTTAAGACCATCTGTGATAGAATCACCCAGGATTTTTTTTTTTTTAATCACCCAGGATTCTTAGTAGAGGCATATATTTCGGTGGCAGCAGCTGAGACCGGCGGGCGAGGTAAGATGCGGCTGACCCGGGAGAGAAGCCGCTGCCGGATTCAGCCCGCGCGGTAGCCCGCCGCCACATGGGGTTGGCAGCTATGGCCAAGGACATCCTCAGTGAAGCGGGGCTGCACTTTGATGAGCTGGACAAGCTGCACATGTTGGACCCTGAGGTTACCCAGCAGACCATAGAACTCAAGGACGAGTACAAGGACTCTGTGGGAAAAATTGGCCAGTTTCAGAAAATAGTTGCTGGTTTACTTGAGCTTGTTGACCAACTTGCAAAAGAAGCAAAAAATGAGAAGATGAAGGCCATTGGTGCTCAGAACTTGCCCAAATCTATAGCAAAACAGAGAGAAGCCCGACAGCAGCAACTGCAAGCGCTGATAGCAGAAAAGAAAATGCAGCTTGAAAGGTATCAGGTTGAATAGGAAGCTTTGTGTAAAGTAGAAGCAGAACAAAATGAATTTATTGACCAATTTATTTTTCAGAAATGAACTGAAAATTTCATTTTATAGCTGGAGGGCCAAAAAACAAAACCAAACCCAAAAACCTCTGTACTGTTCCAGTGACTTGACTAATGACCCACATATGTCCTGAGAGATGGTGTGTAAGGAACGCAACATCTCTAAAGGCGGTAAACAAATCTGGGAGAGCTTGTTGCAGATGTCCATGCACATCTGCTGGTGAACACCCAGTGGCCACGGTGGTCCATGCTTTCACCTCTCGGCATTCTTAGCCTGAACTGAGCAGTCTGTAAATGCTGATCCTTTTTTTTTTCTTTGTAAATTCACAAAGCTTTGGAAAGAAAGAGCAATAAATTATTGTTTAAAAAAATAAATAAAAATAAAAGCATATATATCTGGGGGTACTTAGGTGACTCAGTCAGTTAAGCGGCTGGCTCTTGATTTTGGCTCAGGTCATGGTCTCAGGGTCCTGGGATCGAGCCCCATGTGGGACTCTGCACTCAGTGGGGAGTCTGCTCGAGGATTCTCTCTCCCTTTCCCTCTGGCCCTCCCCTCATTTGTGCATGCACTCTCTCTCTCTCTCTCCCAAATAAATAAATAAATCTTTAAAAAAAAAAACCCACATGGGGCACCTGGGTGGCTCACTTGGTTGAGCATCTGTTTTCTGCTCAGGTCGTGATCCCAGGGTCCTGGGATCGAGCCCTGCATCGGGCTCTCTGCTCAGCGAGAAGCCTGCTTCTCCCTCTCCCACTCCCCCTGCTTGTGTTCCCTCTCTTGCTGTGTCTCTCTCTGTCAAATAAATAAATAAAAATCTTAAAAAA